GCTCACGCCCGGAAAAAAATGATAAATTGAGAATATAATGAGAAAGTTAAGGAATTTTGGGGAAAAATTTACTTTGCCCCCCCCGAAAAAAATCCTGGCAACGCCCATGGTCATAGACAATGGATAAAAAAACGTGTCACGCGCTCTGTGTCATGCTACACGATATCGCGCCCGGCTGTTGTTGTATTACAAAACACTGCATTCGAATTGATCAATCAAACCATTTGATCCTTATTTAGGAATGAAATGACGTCACGATTTAGTAAAGTCGACTCCGATAGGTTGGCGTATGGCTTGCATAATCTGCATGTCTATACAAGTCACGTTATACAGGAGACTTACTCCGTTGATAACGGGTGATGCTCAGACTACTAAATGTGCCCCCGGCGAGCATTAATGTGCCCCCTCGAGATGAAAAAAAAAATGGCCAAAAAATGTCGGATAATTTGTTTTCAGTTACCATTTCCCAAAATGGTATAGAGATTTCTGACATGAACGAGGAATATGAAAACAAAGCCCCAAAACCCTTGCAATGCGCCCTGAAAATGGGCACATAATGCGTAGTTTGCATAGTGGCCGGTTTTGAATAGCGCCCACTAATTTGGAAGATGTTACCCACCCCCCCCCCCCCCCCCCCCCCCCCCCCCCACCACCACCACCACCAATATTTGATTTTACGGAGGCCAAGTGTCCGGTGAAAAAAGCGTGTCAACATTTCAGCACGGAGGTGCAATTACCCCTTTTTGGTGATTCCCCCCCCCCCTCCAGTTTGAAAACAGTTCCGCCGCCGCTGCTGATAATACGCCAGAGTATGCACTTGCTATCAATGGGTACAATGGCTTCTTTAAGTGTCGGCAGAATAAGAAAGGTGGTAGTGTGGCAGTCTATCAAAAATCACACATATTCAGCTAACATCGTTGATGACATAGTTGTCCCTGAGGATTAATAATGTTTTGGGATTAAGGTATGATCTAACAGATTACCTAGAGAAGTTTCAGAAATCGTAGTGTGTTTTCTATTTAACAACATAATCACCTCATTAACAGTTACTCCAAATATATTTACAAAATATCATTGATCATTTGCAGTCTAAATACCCGGATGTATATTTGGCAATCATGGGAGATTTTGACCGTATGAATGTACATCTTTGACCAGGGGCAATGATTTGATTCGAATTACACAATTCCATACCAGGGCCGATGCGACATTAGATCTTATTCTCACCGACCGTAAATTGAAACCATCTTACAACACATTACTGTTATCTCCCATAGGTAGCAATGATCACATTAATGTGTATTATGGAAACCTAAACTTGTGAAGAAGGTTAATCATTCATTCCAAATACAAGTCAGAATTATTCGCCCGATGCACGATTCTGGTATTCGTGCTTCGGTCGTTGGATACAGAAACGTGATTGGTGTCAGGTTTCAACTCTGAGTGCACTCAGGACGAGGCCAATTCTTTTTAGTATCTGCTCGATGAAGGAATGGAATAATTTTTCCCTATATGAAAAAAAAGTAATTAAGTTCATGTTAAAGATATACTTTAGTTGACAGGTTGTATCCAAGATATGATTCGTTATTGGCAGTCTGCATTTTCTGTATCTGATACAGTTAAATGGCGTAAATTAAGAGATCATAATATGAAGAGAGAAAATGAAAAAATCACGGTCTCATATTATGCCAATCGAATTAGGAACTTTAACAGTTAACAGATCCTCGGCAGTGGCATCAACAGGTCTTTAAAAAGTTGCAAATTTTAACCAAACCTGGACCCAACATTGACATCCAGTGATTGACGTGAGTGATTTGGCAGGGATAACCAATGCAATCAGAAGCAGGTTCACAGATGTTTCAGTTGAGCTCCATTTAATATTTGGATATTTCACAGGTACTTGCTTCTTTGCCTGGTCAGTGTCCTCCTCGCGTTTATCCCTGGCAGGTGTATGCGGCTCTTAAGAAACTCAAAATGGATAAATATGCTGGATCGAATCAGTTCCCAGATAATTTGCTTATGATGAAGAGTTCCATAGTCTTATATCCTGCATTGCTCATCTGCCTGTATATGGAACTGCTCAGCTTCAACGGAAAGATGCCATTGTTGTGCCCCTTCTTAAACAGAACCCTCCCCGAATTGACAAACTCAGGCCGATATCACCTACGTCAGATTTTGCTAAAATTGCAGAAGGTTTTGTAGCAAATTGGATTCTTACAAATATTGGTGATGAGAATGATGTGCATCAATTTGGCAACGTTCGAGGGGTTTCAACTTGCCATTATTTTGGTTAGTTTGGTGCATTATCTATTCCACGATACTGAAATATAGAGTACAGAAACTGTAGGTCTGAATCAGTCGTAGTGGTAGAACCAAGATGACATTTTCAAGAGCATTTGCGCAAAAGTGTTTTTATTGTTTTCTTTCATATTCGTACGAAGTAAATGCACTATTACTTGAGTGATTTTGTAAATTTTTAACAAAATAATTAGTTTATGTTGAATTATGAAATGATTATGCATAGTCGGTCTTGTCCAGATGAAGTCGTGTTCCTAATGTATATAAACAGGGTCGGTCTTGTCCACTTGAAGTCGTGTTCCTAATGTATATAAACAGGGACAGAAATTGGGTGGATGAATAAATCAATCACTGAACTTGCTGTGACTGTCGTTCGGTGCAAGAACTACAATTAGCTTGCCAAATGAGGTAAAACAAAATCTTAAGCGCACTGGAAAGTTGAGCTTCGATCAATACAGGCAAATGTTATGTCAAGTACTTATCAACCCCACAGTAAGAAGCCGCTTGTTGGACGATATCAATCATTTTCTGGGGCAACACATTTAAGTGTAATAGGGTGGTTTACTGGACTCGGGAGAAATCGCCATGGCTTTTTCTGATGAAAGGTTTCCCGTTTGGTTGAGGAAGATGATAGCTCAATCCCGCTAAGTCGGGAAATTACTTAGAGATTGAGTGAAGCCATTCCTTACAGAATGAGATAAAATAAGTATTCAGAAATAAACACAGGGCGCAAAGCTAGGTTTACCGTCCCAGCTAAGCTTCCATTTGTTACCGGCTAGACAAAATAAAGTGATAGAGACAAATGGTGTAGGATACACTCCACACAGTGAGTATTAAACTTGTTTTCAGGCATTAAGTGAATTTTTGTCTACTCGAGGACTCATCAGCCTCAGAGGTAGATGTTGGTAATGACTGCAATTATTATTTATTTTTTTAGATCCTACTGTATTAAAAGTTTTTATCGAGTTTGATCTTCGATATTTTTAATCATCTTGTTTCATCTGCTGGATGAAACGATCCTTGTGGGCTGTAGTTTTGTTGGGTATTATTACATTATCATTACATTCATGATGCTGACCTCGATGAAAACCTCGGGACGGTGGTCCTCGCAAACTTCTCGAAGGCATTTTGATCTTGTTGATCGTACAATCTTAATTAAGAAGACTATTGCCATGAGATTTCGTGGGGCCATGTTTCTTGAATTTGTGATTTTCTCAATGATAGAATTAGGCAACGTGTTCGTTATAAGAATGTTCTCTCTCCCTTCATCTCAAAAAGGGGCATTCCAATATTAAACTCAGGAAACAGGACACACTATCACACGTCATCTAGTACACATGTACAAGTCAGGCTCAGGATTTGAACAAAAACCTCCAACTATACAGAAAGTGCAGAAAGTGATATCACAGTACCCTCACGTGTCAGGAAGCTAAGAGATTGGTAGTCTGGTTCCCAGACCAAAAGATTCTGACTATTCCTGATGAATCTTAGGTCCGGTAGCCTCCGGTAATACATTGTATTACAATTTACGTCATGTGACTAAAACGGGAGGAATTCCTCCTTTTTCCGAAAATTTCCGAAGTTTGCCGAAGTCGTTTCGTCGACAATCGGATAGTGCCCGAGTATTTCTGAGTATATAATATAGGTTTAATTAACTGCTAATTGCTTATTAATTTTATTTTAAATGAGTTGATAATTGATATTCATTGCTTTCATTTAGAAAACTTGAAATTCAACGACGATTTTGTGCATCAAATATACTCGGATCGTACGGGCGACATTTTTGCTGCGTCATGTACAATTTTGAATTTGACGACCGTTACCGAGATTTTCCAAAACTCGGTCTTCATTCGGCTCCGCCTGCTAACAGTGCTATTTGGGTGCCTAATTTTGAAGATTCCAGATCAACATTAGTCAATGTTATCTTACAGAAACATCAAACTGTATTATCATAACTGTATGATAATTACTAAGCAAGTGTTTTTTTTTTTAAATGTGATCAGAACATTAAAAGCTACAAGCGATAAAGCGAAATCGGAAACGAAGCCGATCTTTGAAAAAAGGGCCATCAATGTCGTCACTTTTATTTTTAGCCACGGAGGCTGCCTGACCTAAGATTCATCAGGAATAGTCAGAATCGTTTGGTCTGGGAACCAGACTAAGAGATTGGTCGTCAAAGACACATTGACGGGCAGCTAAACAGGGTGGATAAATAAAAAACGAAACCGAGATATTTTTGCTAATTGGGACAGAAGAAGGGCACATGTGAATCAAAGGGAGACATCCTCTGTGAGTGTTGAATCTCCTCTTTAAAAGACACCCTGATCATGTCATTACATTCACGGTTGACTGAGCAGGAACCAATTTTATGAAAGAGTTCATTTAGAGAGTTGCGCAACTATTTCCAATTGTGGTTTCTGTGGTGTCATTTGTCACAGAGTGAAATGCTATAGTTGCCATTCGAGGCAGGTGGGGAAAAAAGAGATTTCACCATGAAAAGTGGCGCAATTCTCTAAATAGACCCTTTCATAAAATTGGTCACTGCTCAGTCAACCGAGAATGTAATGACATGATCAGGGTGTCATTTTAAAGAGGAGATTCAACCATAACAGCGGGTATCTCCCTTTGATTCACATGTGCCCTACTTGTGTTCCAATTAGCAATAATATCTCTGTTTCGTTTTGTTTTTTTATCCACCCTGTATATGTACATTGAACATTGGTATAACTGAACATTATGTAAAGTTTGGATGAACACGATTGATTTAGCAAAACCGTCGTCCCTGTGGTAGTGATTGAAATCAGTGCAACGGGCGAATTTTTCTTCGGAGCCGGTGGTTCCAAAAGCAGAGGGTTTTGATAATACCCCGCCTGATCCTTGGACTAGTGGCAGCATAGATGAACGGGTTGATCGCTGAGTTGACCCACACAGTGTAGGAGACACCATTCCATAACAGCCAGCTACAATCTATCCCCATCGCCACCAACATGAACTGCAAGACGTAATAAGGGGTCCAACATATGAAAAACACTCCCACGATAAGGGCCAGCGTGATAGCGGACTTCCGTGAATTTTTGTAGGACCTTTTGGTATCTTGGGATGATTGGTCGGTGCTGTGGACGTGTGGCTCGTTTTTAGCACCGGGCTCTGCCGGTGGGTGGATTGTGTCTAGCTGCATTGGAGAAACTGCCGTACGAACCAAGCCTTTAGAGCGCTTCAGGATGTTCGCATACACTTTGCAATTCAAGTAGGCTAAGATGATTGCTGGTACAAAGAACCCTACAACTATCTGGATAATATGAAAAGAAAGAATGTACAGCACGCCGAAATCGCAGATGACTGAGTAATTAACCTCACCAAAGGCTCTAGCATTGGGCCAAAGATCATTGCCTAAAACTGGTAAAGCATTGACTAGCAACGCCAGCGTCCATGTACCCGTTATGAGGCAACAGGTAAGTTTCTTGCTCTGATACTTCCGATACTCCAGGAATTTGGTCACCATGAAATAACGATCAAGACTGATGAGTGTCACTGCGAAGGCGCCCTGCATACACGCCGAATAATCCATGATAGTCCAGAAGGTGCACACGGCTCGCTGAAAGGGCCAGTTACCGGTATATCGCCAAATATTTTTAATTGTCAGAGAATTGATCCCAACACACAAGTCTGCGCTGGCAAGGTTCAGAATGTACATATTGGCTACATTAGACCTCAGCTGCTTGTCTCTCAGAATCACTACGAAGATCAGAAGATTACCAGACACCGCCAAAAAGCACATGAGCCATACAATGGTAGATATGAAAATCTCGATGTGTGCAGGGTGCGAGAATGCGCCAAGGAGACTGTAGTCTGAAGACGAATACGTGGAAGTGTCATCTACGATACTTGCATCGCTGGTTGCCATCTTACAAAGACGATTTTGAATTATTTTTTCGATTGGTAGAATTCAAATACACCCTCAGTCCAACAGGGTTTTGACCTATCGCGTTAGAATCGCGTTAGAATCGCGTCAACGCAGCTTGTGGAATATTGTCCAATTGCATGATATACAAATGGACGAGGAACGCGCAACATCTGTGACCAAAACTTGGCGTACAAAAATTTCATAGGGTTGTCTAAGGGGCGTGGCTAACTCGCAAACGGCGATAGGTCACTTACATCTATGAATGCAGACTGTATTCCGGTAACCATGCATACCCAAGAATCTCCCACGATACTAATGCGAGATTACATCCTATCATCGCTGTACGAATCAGAACAGAGTGACATTTGATATCGAGGGCGATGAACAGTGGCAACAATGGTCCAAAGGTTCATGTAAAAGCAACAGAGTACATGCGATATGTATGATGAATAAACTATTAGGGAAGTCACAAATACTATCACATGATTGATGAAACTGTCGCCGTTTGCCTAAACTCGTAGAATTACGCGAACAAGATTACAGACCAAACCATCAACGCCACGGGGCACTTAGCACACACACGCGACTGAGGATATGAACTTCTCGATGGGTACGGTAACATACGAGAAAATACGCCACATAGAAACTGTAATCTAAATCAATCTTAATTGGTAGAATTAAGATGACATTTTCGAGACCATGCGCGCAAAATGATGCAAAAGATAATGAGAATGTGGTATTCTGAGAGTGATTTCGTAAATCTTTAACAAAATAGTTAATAAGATTACACCCGCACCCGAGACAGGCGTTCTACAGTCGAACAAACCAAATTAATGTCAATATTTGATTTTAAGGGATATTACGGTCTGGAATACGCCCAATTAGGCCTTAAAAAAACCCGGTTTTTTTACAAAATATTATTAAATGAAAAGTGCATTGACAAGTAGAAAGTAAACATCCACACGACCATCCTTTTTGTGTGTGTTATTTTTGCGAGAACCATATGTGAGAACGAATTTCGGGGTCCCGAAAAGTCGAGTTAGTTATGAATCCAGACGCGCAGTGTTCGGCTTCTGCGGACGTGTAAGAAACCACATTAGTGTATTGGTGCTGTGTGTAATTTTTGTGATACACAACGTGTATCGTACATTGAATGAAAATGACAGGAAAACGTGTGCGTACTCCGTCGTGTCCGATGTAAACGACCGAGTTTTGTCCGTCTTTTCTCGGGAACGTTAAGACATTAGGTTAGTTTTATTTCAATTTGACCTTTTAATTAGTATAAGTAAACACTCCAAAACATGAAATATTCGTTGATTTCAGGCGGTAATGTTCCTTTAAGTTCATGGACAATCTGACGTCTCAAACAATGAGTGACTTTACGCGCTAAATAGACGCCGAAAGATCAACTGTCAGAGTCGTTCAGCACGATGTAACTGTTGTAAATAATAAGGTAACGTGTTGTCAAAGTAGCAGGAGAGAGACCAAGAAGCCAGGTTCAGTATTCTTTTACTCACACATCAACATCAACATAATTAATACATGTACTGATATGTTTTCTGTCCTTCTTTTGTCCTTTTCGGCCATAATTCAGACATGGATTTATCTGTTGATTTTCATGGGTTAGAAACTGCTCAGGCAAAACAACGTCTGAGACAGAAGTAGGGCATGCTCTTCGAAAACAAAACACATATGTGATTGCGCAATAGCGATCTGTTCGTTATTCGTTTGATTGTACATAATTCTCCAGTGTGTTTCGTTAGCCTGTCTGAAACCAATCATCTATTTGGGTCGACTCGAGTCGCTTCTCAATATTTATTTAGTAAGGCGCAACTCTTGACCGTGAAACTGAATCGGGGTTATTTAATTGTGAAATGCTTGTAGATGTGCTTTTAACTTATCTGGGTCGGTCCAGTTCCATAGTCGGTCTTATCCACTCGAAGTCATGTTGTTCCTAATGCATCGAAACAGAGACAGACACTAAGTGGGTAAATATTTAAAGACATCAGACTTGCTGAAGCTTTCGTTCAGTGTTTTGCAAGAACAAATTTACAAAGCTGTAGCAATACATGCCTAATAACAGGAAAATACAACTCTGAAACATTTTCCTTGTTTTTTTAAACGTGCCTGTGAATGTTAATGTTTTGGGTATCAGGTTAAATCTGAGAGCTTTTTATTGCAAATACTGAAATCACGACATTCCGAAGTCTCCTGGGAAGGCATTGTCGTCCTCTCCAATTAAGACTCCTCAGCCACTCATTTGGTGGAATGAGGGTGACCGTCCCGCACTTTGATTCAGAACCCACTCTCACTGTCTGATTTATTTATGTTCCTTTTTTGAAGAAGAAGAATAAGAAGAAGAAGAAGAAGAAGAAAAGAATATACACAAAACCCAGGTAATTGGTCCAATTACAGACCACAGGTACATTAAAAAGACAAACACCAGTGTAAATAGGACCAATTATACCCTACAAAGGAAAATTTCATAAAGTGTACACAAACAAATATACAATTACCAATACATAATGAACAATTAAAAAGATACACTTAAAATTTGACGTACAGTGTTTTATTTTTGGAAAGGAGTAGAAATGATACAGGGAGAATTGAAATGATAGCAAGACTTTATCTGGCTTAATACCTTATAATAACCAGTGGCAGGAAAGAAATCTCCGAAATTTAAAAGGACGCATGAAATAATCGACGATTATAGCCCAAGTAAAAATGTATTTACAAAAAGCCGGTTATCGGGCCTACTTTATAGAAGCGACATATTAACCCACTTTTGATCGGATCTGGCATTATTGATCACATATGAAGTAGTCTTGGCCAAAGACGTCAGTGATCAAGAACGATAGTTGCATTGTTATGTAGTGCCCCATCATATTTTTTTTACTCTCTCTCGCTGATGTCTTGGTCATTTCCTAGGAATGGGGGGGGGGGGCCATGTTGCGCTCATACCGTCGGTACAGATTCCAACAAACACTGTTCCTTTTTACAGCTCCATGCTTGATCACCGCACGTAGCGCGTAAGTTTACAACCGTCGGGTGCGACATTGAACCTTTTTCTCTATCGCTGATTGGTTCCCTAAGAAAGCTTAGGGAGAAAACAACGAAACAGTTAAACCGCTGAAACGAAATGGCCAAGACGTTAAGGCGAGTAAGCCCGCTGGTCCAATTGTTATGCCACTATAGAGGGTGTACTATGCACCGTCCACTATCGACCACTAGCGTCTTGGGCCAAGACTACATACAAAGCTGCTGATTAAAAGCCAATTTGCTAATTTTGTTGAGTACTTTTTGGCAGCCCCTTTCCCCTATGTGTTTCAGAAGCCTTTTTTAACACTGCAGTTCGTTTAAGGGCTTTTTTGTGACAACGCCACGGCTTCCCACTCGTAGGCAGATAAGTTGACAACCAATAATGTCAGATGTAACATCACTTTGTAGTTGAGAGTACCGTTCCAGTTTTCTTATAGTTGAGGTAATTTTACAAATAGGATACAGACTGAATTTTGCCGGTTGGTCATGTCGGTGAATTCAAAAGAACTGATCAGGCTCGAACCGATTGGCTACCGTGTCTGACGTGTCGGCGTCCCGACCCTAACCTCCTCAGTTAAAAAAAAAAATCACCGAAAAGAATCGCCGGTAAAAAATACGAATCTGCCTTTATTTGATAATGTTAATTATACCAGAAGAAATTTGAGTATTAGCCTACACTTACGTGCATCGCTACAAAAAACTTTTTGATCATACGGTAATTTATTGACGATTTTGTTGTCGTATCGGCAATATTTCTAGGAAAACTCCGGCCAATGAAAAACGATCCGTGTCACCAGTTCAAAGTACAGGCTTTCATACACAGCACTCCAAGCGTCACATAAAACCCTCCTCCCACTTTTTGCATTTCACTCTGTTGGTTGAATATTACTGATATGGTCCTCCTTCTTCAAAATATATGGATTTGAAGATAAAACCCCCACTATACAGAGAGTGCGGAAAGCGACATCACAGCAACAGTGCTGTAACGTGTCAACAAAATACGAGCGATTTCTTGCAAGATTTAGCGAATCCGTCGGTGCAACGGGCAAATTTTCCTTCGGAGCTGGTGGTTCAAAAACAGACTGAGAGGGTACCCCGCCTGATCCTTGGACTATAGATGAACGGGTCGATCGCCGAGTTGACCCACACAGTGTAGTACTAGTAGACACCGTTCCGCATAACAGCCAGCTACCATCTATCCCCATTTAAGAAATACCATAATGTTCAGTGCTTCTGAAGATAGCATGTCAGTAACGTCTATCGCATAGCCTATCAAAATTCACAGCAACCGAATAAACCCTCACGCCTCCCTTGTGTGCAAGGGCGGATCCAGGGGGGGGGGCCAAAGGGGGCCATGGCCCCCCCAAAACGAAACCAATTTTTTTTTTTTTTATGTGACATCGCAATAAAGGCAGGCAATGAGTACACCACCATCTTTTCCTCAAAAAAACATTGGTTAAAGTGGTCAGAAATTGCCTCAGATCGCACCACAGAGCATCTAGAATCCAAAAATTTTTCGGGGCCCTTAAGCGGGCCCCGAACCCCACGCCGTAATTTTTTTGACCCACATTTTTGGGGGACCAAATTTTTTTGGCCCCCCCCCCGAAAATTGTGTTCTGGATCCGCCCTTGCTTGTGTGTTGGGTTGATGGTCATTAAACAGACCGATACCAAAGCATGCAATCTAAACGTATTAAGCCAAGTTTGCATCTGACACCGCGCGGTCAGCGTAATTTTTATTCCCAGGAGGGTTAGGGGCAATGTCATGAATAATTCATGTTTATCCATGAGAACGGACAATGACATCAACAGCATTGTTGTTAGTTACTCAACTAGTTACAATACATTTTAAAGAACGGTTGTCGTCGAGCTACCACACAGTAGCCTAGTGGATAGCGAGAAGAGCTATGGATACAAAGATCCCTGGTTCGAATCCACGTCGTCGCTGCTCATTTTCATCAGCTATTTTTCTTCTCCAAATTTATCACTGAGATAATTTTAAATTAAGGGGAAAATAGAACGAGAACCTAAGTCTTGCAATGATTCAAAGGAAAAACTGAATTATTCATGACATTGCCCCTAACCCTCCTAGGAAAACAAATTACGCGCGCGGTCACACCTTCCAACCTGCATTTTCATGAACCAAAGCTGCAAACAGTATTGTTCCGCATATAATGAATACAAAGTGACAACCAACTATGAAATATCAAGTTGAGAAATTCTGGCTTCCTGCTATCATGGCGACAGCCTCCTGACCAAAATAAGAAATCGTCGGCAGAAAATACGATTAAAGCTGTCCTTGTTTGTTCAAGTTTAATGATATCAAAAGTATTTTGAGCAAGTACACTCATTTCAAGACTTAAAAAGCGTTGAGAATACGCTCATTCGGAGCACTTATTTTGAAATGAAACGTGCGACGCAAATTACGTCTTAGTGTGGTCAAACTACTCATTTTTTTTTCGACGAAGATTGTGCACCCCGAAAATATTTTTTTGCCAGATTATTACACAAAAACCGGCAAAGTTGAGAGCATCATTATTTTTTTCCTTATTTCAATAACCTTTTGATTGGGCTATTCGTGGAAATGCGTTCCAGAGCCCAAAACGGCGCAATTGTTTCCCTCCATCCAACATTAAACGATCAAGTATTATGTAACATGCCTCATGGGATCGTCTCTTGGTGAGTACAAAAACAATTGTCCGTTGTTTTGGCGTCATTACTTTCGCATGCCACCTCCTGTACGGATCGACTGGTCAATAGAAACTGCACTTTGTTTTTGCACAACAGGCTCCATTAGTTGACATGCTAAGTGGTGTAAATAAATGGTTTCATACTTTGCATTTGAGTCCACATTACGTAAGAAGTTATTACTGACTCGGGTGGTTATAACGTCAAATTATCTTGTTATCTATTGGCAAGATGGCAACCACCGATGCAAGCGTCGTGGAGGACAATTTGACGTCGTCTTATTCAGACTACAGTCTCCTTGGCGCATTCTCGCACCCTTTACACATCGAGATTGCCATTTCTACGATTGTATGGCTCATGTGCTTTTTAGCGGTGTTTGGTAACATTCTGATCTTCGTAGTGATTCTCAAAGACAAGCAGCTGAGGTCTAATGTAGCCAATATGTACATTCTGAACCTTGCCAGCGCAGACTTATGTGTTGGTATCAATTCTCTAACAATGAACAATATTTGGCGGTATACCGGCAACTGGCCCTTTCAGCGAGCCGTGTGCACCTTCTGGACTGTCCTGGATTATTCGGCGTGCATGCAGGGCGCCTTCGCAGTGACACTCATCAGTCTTGATCGTTACTTCATGGTGACCAAATTCCTGGAGTATCGGAAGTATCAGAGCAAGAAACTTGCTTGCGGTCTTATAACAGGTACCTGGACGCTCGCGTTGCTAGTCAATGCTCTGCCAATTTTAGGCAATGACCTATGGCCCAATGCTAGAGCCTTTGGTAAGGTTAATCACTCAGTTATCTGCGATTTCGGCGTGCTAAACATTCTTTCCTTTAACATTGCACAGATAGTTGTAGGGTTCTTTGCCCCGGCAATCATCTTAGCCTGCTTTAATTTTAAGGTGTATGCCAACATCCTCAAGCGCTCTAAAGGTTTGGTTCGCACGGCAGTTTCTCCAATGCAGCTAAATACGGCCCACCCACCAGCAGAGCCCAGTGCTAACACTAATTCATCAGCCAACATCACTTCCCGAGACACTAAGAGAACCTACAAAAAACACCGGAAGGCCGCGGCGAGACTTGCCCTTATCGTGGGCATGTTTTCCATCTGCTGGATCCCCTACTACGTCTTGCAGTTCCTATTTATCGTCGACAAGATCAAGTTCAGCTGGTTGCTGTGGAATGGTGTCTACTACACCGTGTGGGTCAACTCGGCGATCAACCCGTTCATCTACGCAGCCACATGCTCCAAGATCAGGCGGCGTTTGGTAGAAGCTCTGTGCTTTTGGAACCATCGAATTCTGCGGCGAACTCGCTAAAAATATTGCGTACAAGGAAGGCAATAGACCCCACACATGATGACCCCAAGAACCTTGTTTCCTTGTACTTTTAAGTGTACTTGCTGGTTACATATTGAAGTTCTTCGTAAGTGAATTAATCAATTGCGTTTGTTATTTTGCGCACCTGCACATGTTTTTTAGTACAAACTGATTCACGAAATAATAAGATTCACATTCATTTACTCACGTCTTATATGAGGTGTGTTTGCATAGTTCGTGTCGAACGTTTTACTCGGAGACTTTGTAAATTTTAATATTTTTGGGGTAGTAATTGTTGACAGTTATCTTTGATATAGTCCTACCATAATTGCATGATCTGAGATGGCATTTTTCAACGTTAAAAATGTATTGCAAACAAAATTGGTTGTTGTCCAAACTAGTATTTATCGATCACTTAAAGGGTATATGACATGCATTTTTGTTAGAAACATATTTCGTGCAATTTTCCACTCCTCTTAAATGGAGTGGAGTGCTGTGGCCTCGTGGTTAAGGGCATTGGATTCGTGGTCTGCAGGTAAAGCTACAGGTTGTGGGTTCGAGTCCAGCCTGTGGTCATGGGCGTGTGCCCTTGGGCAAGGCACTTTGTCACTCATTGCTTCTCTCCACCCAGGAGTAAATGGGTACCTGTGAGGGCAGAGATGGTTATTGTGATCGAATTAGCTTCCTTGCGCCTAACATGCTGCATTGAGCTGTATACTCCCCAGGGAGCTGAGATGGTATTTGGAATGTTTAATTGGCCCAATGATCAGGGGTAAGAATAATGTGCTTTACATTATTTTGATCTTTATTAAAAGCGCTTTATATGAACCCGTTATTATTATGCCAACTGTTTGACATCCCTTTTGGTTATTTTTATTTACCAATACACTGTAACAATACCCTTGAAAATGGCAAAACAAAATTTGAAAACACGGTAAAATGGGACACAAAGGTGCATTCTCAAGGATTGCATTAAAAAAACCGCATTGCATGAGCCCTTTAAGAAAAATCGGTACTTATGTTGTTCGGAACTTGGTATTTCATCTGTGTAATTCGGCTTATCTTATACTGCCTGAAAGCCTGTCATGTCTTTCATAAAAATCCAGACATATATGTCAGAATTTCTATGAAAGACATTCCATTGGTTGCGTATTTTAGGAAATGAAACCACAATCCCCTCACAGTAGTATGACCATCTCTGTTTTTTATTCCGTTTTAAAAGAACAACAGTAAATCAGGACTTTTTTGTGGATACGCTACTGCGTTACATTAAAAACATGTTGTTATCCTGGAAGAATATTCTTTTGAGGGACCGCTACATTATGTTATTTTAATTCGGGACCGACGCATAAGCTAATTGTGACCCATTTTAATCTAGGTCTCCCGACACTCTCTTAATATCTGACTATCCTTTTAAGTCCGGAGCGAGGCTTAACACTGCATCGGCCAACTTTATAGAGGAATTTCTTTTTTTGAAATGTTTAAATATAAAAGTGGCATGCTATTAGATATGAAAGCACTCATTATAATTATGTCCAAGATGACATCAGTTGTGTATGGACAGGTTAAACAATAATTACTAAGTAGATTATTATTTAAAAAAAGACCATGGGTTCCCCACAACCGTGAAAATGCGGATCCTTTTTGTTGGTTAATCCTATTTCCCCTGGTCTTCAATGATGCTAGTGCTACAATATAATGTAGTATGCAAAAAGCACGCATAACACGGATTTGGGATCGCACTGGTTGCCTGAATCCCGCCTCTGCCATCGAAGACGAGAAGATAACCCAAGGGGGCTGCGGAGCCAGTCTTCTTTATTTCTTTGCATTTGCTCTCACTTGCATCTGACTATGCCATTGCTATGTCGTAGCAATTGAGGGCTCACACACTTCACTTTATGCAAGTCCATTTAATCATGACATGGGACCGGGACCGCCGTATTGAAACGAGGCTAGATCCTCCCACATCAATACTCCGTATTGCTCAGTAAATCCAAAGTATGGCTAAGCCTTGCAAAAGTCATATAAACCGTGAATGTAAAGGTAATTAATCAATGGTGTATGGCGTGCATTCTTGACATTTAATCAAAAATAAAGATATCTCTATTTATAATAGAGACATCTCTATTGCTAATAGAGATATCTCTATTAGCAATAGAAATATCTTATCTCTATTTTCTAATTGAGATATCTCTATTATTAATAGAGACATCTCTATTAATAATAGATGTATCTCTACTACTAATAGAGATATCTAATCAATGGCCGATACCGACAACATTTTAAACTTGTCAGCTTTAAACGGCGCCAAAATGACAAACCTTGGATAAACAATCACTTACGGAGGCTAATAATGCAACGTGATAGAGCCTTTAAAAGAGGAAATGGTACTTATAGAAATTTAAGGAATAGAGTCCAACGGATGATTAGATCTGCCAAAACACAATTTTACAGTCGTAAAATAGAGCACTTGAAACAATCCGAACCAGGAAAGTGGCACCAGCAGATCCGTCATTTGACCGGGCTAACTAAACGACCTTTATGCCTTCCTAGATGCAACAATCCACCCCTACAGGTAGCCAACGAGATCAATTCCCATTTTGCTGAGATATGTTCAAGGCTACCTCCACTTGACACTTCTACATTGACCCCATACCTGCCAGCACCGCCTGTACCTGTAATACACCGGAATCAGATATACACTCATCTTCGTAAGCTGAACACATCCAAAGCTTCTCATCCTGATGACTGTCCCACAAGACTTTTGAAGGAATTTGCATTTGAACTGTCTAACCCACTTACCATTATTTTTAACTGTTGTCTCAGTTCTGGGATTTTTCCAAATATTTGGAAAAATGCTTCACTTTGCCCTGTTCCTAAAACAACCCGAGTCACCAGTTTCGACCAACTTCGCCCTATCTCCATAACGTCTGTGATAGCCCGAATCTTTGAAGGTTTCTTGGCAGACTGGATTATGAGGGACATTAGACTGGCTATTGATACACAACAATTTGGGAATTTGAAAGGTAGCTCCACTGACCATTATCTCATTAGCATGCTTGATACTATTCACAATGGCCTTGATAAGGCTGGTAACTTTGTAAATTTATGTGCAGTAGATTTTAGCAAAGCTTTTGACCATATCAATCACACAATAGCAGTTGAAAAGCTTATACATTTTGGTGTTGACCGATCTCTCATTCCAACAATATGTAGTTTTTTATCACATCGCTCCCAAACTGTTCGTTTTCGGGGCTTTACTTCCACCCAGACGCGGTTCTAGAACCAATATTTTTGGGGGGCTAGCACGGTGAATCCAGAATTTTTTCAGGGAGACGTGCTGAAATGTTGACCGGTTATTTTTTCCAGACACTTAGGCCTCCGAAAATCAATAGGGGGGGGGGGGGGGGGCTCGTGCCATATTTTCAATGGGGAGCGCCAATAAAATCCTAAAATCATTCACACCTATATTAACTAATGCACACTTGTCAGTGCAATTTTTTTTTTTTACGGAATTTATTTTGGGGGGGGGGCTAGACAAAAAAAAATGGGGGGGGGGGGGGCTACAGCCCCCCCTAGCCCCCCGTAGAACCGCGCCTGCTTCCACCCCTCTCAGTCTTACTTGTGGTGTCCCGCAAGGCGCAAAACTAGGACCAATCATCTTCCTTGCCATGGTAAATGATGCTGCTCAAACACTGGCAAATCGCTGGAAATATGTTGACGACCTCAGTCTTCTTGATCATCGAGTATTCAGTTACATATTGACTCACTTGTGGACTGGTGTTCCAAAAATGATATGAAACCAAACCCAGCAAAATGCAAAGCTATGCAGATCTCATTCCTACGCAACCCACCTCCTGCCCTGCATCTAAAAATCAATGATGTCCAACTTGAGGTCATTTCGTCCGTTAAACTTCTTGGAGTGACCATCCAAAATGACCTTAAGTGGGACCAGCAGGTTCAGCAACTCATTACGAATGCCTCACGTACAGACTTTACATTCTTAGCAAAGTTAAAGGGAATGTACATCATTGGCTTTTGCTGTAATTTTCAGAAATGGACTATTTGAGGGTTTAGTATAATAGATCAAATGTTGTTACACTGACAAATTTGAAGTTTTGTGTTTGAAACTGCTGGAAAAACCAAGAAAAACCAAATATGTTCAAATAGTCTGGTTCCCTGACTGCACCAAAGATGAAATTGATCAATTTATATATGCCGGAAAATTGTAAAGTAAGTGTAACAGTCTCGCTGGCCTGCACCCGTTCATGAACATGTAACCAATAGCAGGCAAAATTTGCACTGAAAAAAATGGTACATTTGGAGCAGTATAGTTAAAAAATAGTTAGGTTTTTCCAACGGTGGTCGGCCGACCACCATTGGAAATTTACACAAAATAGCACTTTTCTATAAAATGACTTCACACCAGGTGCCATAATTTTACAGGATGCTTTAGACTGTCATTTACCAACATCCTAGTAAGATATTTTGTAAATATTTGGTAGTTTTGTTTTTCGTAGTCTGCAAATGTTGTATATTCCCTTTAAGAAAAATGGTGTTAAAATTGACGACCTCATCTTAATCTATAAGAGCTACATTCGTCCTACACTTGAATACGGTGCAGTGGTGTGGTCTTCGGGTCTGACTGTCAATCAAGTTCAAAGTAATGAAAGAATTCAGAAGCGTGCACTCCGCATAATCCTTTACCCAAAAGTCTTGCCATATAACGATGTTCTCAATCTCCTGAACATCCAATCGCTTTCAGACAGGCGTGTTGACCTCACCACTCAATTTGCCAAAAACTTGCTTACCTCTGAAAAACACCGTCACATGCTTCCCAACCCAAGACTCTCTCTCACCAAACGAAATCTCAGGAACTCCAACCACCTTACCATGCCTCGTATCAATACTCAGAGATATAAACAATCTCCTGTCCCCTCTATGATCAGATTAATTAATTGTCAGTAGTTGTGGTTTTTAGGTGTTCATATACATGTACTTGTTCCTCCTATCTTATTCTATATTAATTACTCAAATTTTATCTGTAATGTGAGTCACTGTTATTGTTTTTTATCTGTTCAAAATTTACTGTTTACATGTATGTAATGCTTAGCAATCATTGTAAATATTAATTATTACTGTAAACCAAATATTTTTAGTCCTTGGACTTTTTCTTTGGTCACCATTTTTTTTAACAATAAAACCGAAATGAATGAATGAATATCTCTACGGAGATATCTCTATTATCATTATCTCTATTATTAACAGAGATATCTCTATTTCTAATTGAAATATCTCTATTATTAATAGAGACATCTTTATTTTTGATTAAAATTCAAGAATGCACGCCATACTGGTAAGATGGGTGGCTAATGCGTAAAGTACTTGCCTCTATAGCTCTCACCACTGATGTGGCTTGGGTTCGATTCCTGGCTCGGACCATAATGAATAGAGTTTTATCAGGGAAACTTTTCTCAGGGCTCTCCGGTTTTCCTCCCGCCGTAAAAATGAACAATTTCGATCTG